TTTCTCGATCTTCGCCTATAATACTATGGCATAAGGTAAAAAGACATAGCGTAGATTGTAACAGGGTTGATTGTCCTGCTGTCAAAAATATAACGAGGAAATCTTTGCAAGCTATATCGCCTACTTTTTTCAATTAAGATCCAAAAAAACTCCCAAAGGCAACCATAACACTCTAATAAGTTTTGTCATTTTTTCTTGCATGACATTAAATCTGGAGAAGCTCCTCGTAACAACTTTTTTATGATAAAAAAAACCTCAAATTGCCAATTCCATAATAACTCAAAAACAAACAATATTAAACCGCTTAATTAAGTCACCTCATTTTGTTTTAAAAAAAGAGAATCGAAAAAATCTATTGTTCAACTCACCCCAACTCCTGGCAGTTCGTCCAGCTACTTCCTTAGTCTCGTTGTTCCAGAGAAATTGTCGGAAGCCAGCCCACTTTGAAGCCATTCCGCCCCCTCCCGAATGGCTCTTTTCATCCTTCTGCTCCGACATATTTTATATCTTCAGTTCAGTAATTGACCTCTAAGTACTCGTTAACTGCAATTATAAGTTATAAGATACCAATTAACTTGTTAAAATCAAAGTTGACATTTATCTGATACGAAGGGTACAGTATGTTTTCAGGGGGGTTTTGGGGCAATTCCTGCAAGGATAGATTGTTCAGGTAATCGGAATGGTTTAAAAGATTAGACCAAAACAGCGCCTTGGTTCTAGAACAAACTTCAAGTAAGATAAGCTCTGTAAATATAACACCTGAAGAAATTGCTGAAATCGATGATAAATGGTTAGACTAATGGTTTAAATTAGTTCTTAAGAATTTGGGTTTGACTATAGGGCTTTCTCGACCATGGATTTTTGGTCGAACTCTGACATGTAATATCATACGCAGTTGATATATCGTATTAAGTTATTTACATCATAAATTGGTGTCTAAAAACTTCATGTTAATTTCTTCATTCTTCATCAATTACTACTTGAAGCAAAATCAGTTTGGATATACAAAGGCACTTTGAAAACTATTGCTACTCGTGCCAAAACCATGGCATTTTAATGAAGTTAAATACTTGGATTAATTGAAAATTAAATAATCAACTGAAAACTTCAATCAAATTAAATCGTCTTTTTAGTGCTAAACACAGGGGCGGATTTAGGGGGGGGGGGGGGTAGGGGGGTAGGGGGGAGGGTGGCGTGGACGCCCCTCTTTCCCCAAGGATTCGACCCCCTGCCGATCCAAAGGGTCCCCTTTGTGCTATTTTGAGATATCCATTTTTAGTGACGGACCCAAAATTTTCCAAAGGCGCGTTAGGCGCCAATATATTCTAGTTTTGAGGGGGAGCGCGCGCCAAAGGACATTTTTTGGTAAAAAATTTTCCAAAAAGTGCCTAAAAACGCTTTTTTGGTATGTTTTTTTTTAATTTGCCTGCGGCGCAGAAATTTTGGCCAAAACAAGGACTTTTTAGTGCTTTGGAAGAGCTCGGAAAGTCAATTTGGTCGACCTAAAAACAAAAGGTCGACAAAATTTCGATTTTTTTTTAAATCAGGTCCCCCTTCCCCCTCGAGAAAATATTGGATCCGCCCCTGGCTAAACATTAAACCTGGCCTGATTTTTGGTATCAGCCAGGAAAAAAAATATGCACCTAGCGATAAAATATCAAAAAAGCGATTTGATTATTTATTCTGACACAGAGCAGAAACTTATTTCCAAATTGATAGTGAAAACGATTAAGCCAAGGTGTTTTGGCAGCTGGGTCTACAAGCATATTTGAGTTTGCAAAAAAAAAGAAATATTTTGAAAAATACCAGAAAATTACTTGAAAAGATACATTAAACAAAACTTTACATTAAGTCTTTATGAACATTCAGATGAAGCAAAATACTGCATTGTAAAACAAAACAGATTTGCAGGTGCAGCTGCTTGCCCAGATTAAAGCTCCGAAACAAAACTGCACGTATATCAGGGCAAAACCCTTCATGTTTTGATACGCAGATACAATTTGATCTTCCCTTACAGTAAAATCAAATAGACTTGTTTCAGAATGACTACAGTCAGGTTATTATGGTGGAAACCTAGCTGCAGCCAAATAATATAGTAGTTCGCCACGATATATGAAAGGACAAAATATAAGGAATTGGTTTGAAAAGAAAACTACCCCAAGCAATTATATTTTTCCAGTTTTTTCGTAAATCGGAACAAAAAAGATTACAGAATAAATCTATTTTTAAAATTGAGCCAAGACGTTAATGTTTTTCATATGGTATAAAAAACTCCGTCTCGTTTGGAAAATTAAAAAGACGAAGTGTGTCTGAAGAAATATGATCACACCGAGCACAAATATTCCAATCTTTCTGAGAAAGCGGGCAAAGTTGTCATTTTCTGCTTACATTTCAAAAAAAAACAATAGAGAAGCTGTATAAAGTGGTATAAGTTAGAGAAAATTTTATGACCGGAGAACCACTTAAAACGAAATTATGTTGAATTGCCCAGAAATGTTATGAAGAAAATGCGGGTTGACAAAGTTGACAGGATAACGGCTATCTTGTATGCGCTAAAGGGCCCAGTGGGAAAAAAGTAAACCGCCCGTTTCCAATTCCCTGCCTAATCCAAAGGTTGAAGAATACTTCTTCAGAAAATAGTGCGCCTTTTTCTAAACGTACTACGTCAATTCTTACCGCACCACTTTGGCTTAGCTCAGCATTAGGGTTTTCAATAAAGGAAAAGAAGCGGGTGGAACTTCATTTCCTAGTTGCGCTTTCATTGCCTCCATTAAAGGATCCCTTCCTCTTGAATTACCTAAATCGTATAAGTATTTGCTAACGAAATAGCCAGAAAAGACTGTTAGCCGAACTATTTGTAGAAATATGCACGTTTTTTTTTTATTGTAATGGATACATAACTTGATCAATTATAAATTGCTAAAATAAACCGTCGACGAAAAACTGAAAATTTGATTTTTTCAAATTGAGATAATTTAAGGCAGGAGATGATGATATCAAAAAGATCTCAGTAATTTTGCATGATTAAATTGGTCAATTTTGATTCAATTTTTTTATGAAACCCACATGCATGCCGGAAGAATTCCGCAGAAGTGATCAGAACTAACTATTGTTTAAGCATGAAAGAGCCTACTATGTTTAGACCGCGTAAGATCTTCAATCAACATGCTTCTTATTGTCTGATGAGAAAGAACCGGGGCCTTAAAAAATTAGACGAAAAAAAAATAAACTAGACGTGGCCGAAAAAATTGAACTTAGACGTCGATGCAATACTACAAATACGGGAAATTAGACATAATTCTACTGTTAACTTGTGTGAAATCTGTTTACTGACTACAATTAATTTTCGCTGACTACAACAATTTTCGTTAGAGCTTTCTGAAATGCGAATCAAAAATTTCATATGCCGCAATTGAATGACTTATGCATTTCAAAATTGTTTTATAATATTTAGATTAAAGTTTTATAAATCGTTTCAAATCAAAATTTTGACATGCGAAGGGATTATAATTTCTTTTGTTTTCGTGGAATTTTGCTTCAGGCAATCAGTTTTGTTAGCCCTATTCTTTTCGTTCAAAATGCTATCCCTAACTTCGGGCGGTTGTTGCTGCCCAAAATGTTCCTTTTGTGTCCTCCCGTGAAGGAAAAAAAATATTTTCTCTTCAAATCGACCGGTTGGATTGAGTCCTAAGAATAATTTCCCTCAAAAATTTTTTTGTGTCGTCAGTGAATCCGCAGTAAAACTCTTTTATCCGTTTCTCTAAGTAGATTTTCAGGTTGGGGTATCTTAACTGCAATTCATGTAATATGTTTTGTTTGATGAAACTAACTAGGCTTGCTGAATTACAGGTATGTCCATAACCAACTAGCCCTACAATCAATGGTTCATTGTCTCTAGTCCATTCTGATCGAAAATTTTTCATACAATTAGCAGTGATTAATCGTCATTGTCGCTTTTTCTGTACTCATTTCAGGCGTTCGTTACTTTCAATATGGGCGTTATAATAATTTACATTATTTACGGTGGGTCGCCTATTTTTCGATTATGAGACTTTCGCGAAGTGAGATTGTAACTAGAATTCTTACAAGTTATCGCCTTCGCTGGACAGACATTCAAGCATTTTTTCGTGAAAGGATTACCAAATTTCATGCATGAATTACTTCTTTCATAATTGGGACTTGGTTTTTTTTTCTCTAGTTTTTTAAGTTATAGATATTAAAAGCCGTAGCGTTGGCCGTTGATCTCGCTACGCTTGTTTTTTTTATGGTTAAAATAGCTCTCTTCAACATTAAGCGTCTGACCTAATGCTTCCCAATGGTTGATTGTTGCTGACAACAGCTTCCGTTGGGTCTCGCTATTCTTCATGTTGCAAAAAAAGTCATCTCTGACCCATTCGGCTTCGTCGGTCTCTCTAATGTTACGGGTACTGGCTATATCACTCAACGCTCCCCAGTTTTGTTCAAAAGATTCTCTCTTTGTTTGTCTCTTTGTTTACGATTTAAAAGCTTGTATCTCTCGAATGTGATATTTGGGGGTTTGTTAAAAGCTGAGTTCAATAGGTCCCAAAATTCTTAAACCGATGGTTTTTCTGAGCAAATTCCCTTTTTCTTCGTTCCCGAATGCTAAGAACAAAATTGATCGTAACTAATCGACCGCCTCAGCTCTTCTCAATCCGTCTTTTTGTTCCTTGATCCGCTTCTCTTCATCGTGTTCTTATTCCTTGTTTCTCGACTAGCTCTTTCTATGTCCTACTCACTTCTTGTTGCCCGCTCCAAAGCGGAAACCTGTATTTCTGGGACCTCCGGTTCGCTAAGATTGTCAATGTCCAGATTCTTTAATGCGATTATCGCCAATGGAAATTGGTCGCTCCAATGGGCCCAGGAATGTGGCGGCTGCATGGCGTGGTTTGTACAGAATAAAAGAATTCCCCGCAGATTCGATTCGTTTGACTGCGCCAATTTAAATTGTTAAGATGTTCTAACTAGATATATACAAACTAAGTACAACTAATAAAATAAAATAATTTAAAAATTTGTCGAGTTATAATGTCTGTTCTAAAGCTAACGCGAAAACTAAAATGATCGAACACTGGTCGATTCATGATGGTGTTGACTGTTGTCTAATCAACACTGAAGGTCAAAAACAATATATTGAAACAAACCACAACCGACACAAAGCAGCCTGAACTATGAGCTAAGCTTCTTGTCAGAAATTTTGTCAATTTATATAAGAAATTTCAATTCAATCGAAGTAAAAAGAAGAACAATTCCAACTCTCTTAACTGGGCCTCAAAATGACCCTTTTTTCTTTTGACTAAATGCTTAACATCTGCGCTATAATCCTTTGGAGAACCTGATTGAATTTGAATTTTGTTAGGTTGCACTGCTAACCCAATCTAATCAAGTGGTCAAATCTAATCAGCTGGTCAATCTAATTGAGGGTTCTAGTGGAGACCTCAAGTCGTAAAAGCTCCTAAATTTGGAGACAAAGGTTTCAATTTTGCTATGGGAACATGCACGATGTAAGTGTATTAAAAACATTCAATTCTTTCGCCTAAAATGGAAATTTCCACTTGATTTCCAATGAATTCCAATGAATACCGAAAATAATGATGTAAAAAAGATTTTAAAAAATCGACTTCGATTGAAGTTTGAACTTGGTCCTCCGGCGTGTGGGACCAAACATAAACTGGGCTACAAAATTAGTCACAACAAAGCAATCAAAAGTTTCCAAAGAAAAATCATGTTCTCTTGAAACCCTCGCTTTTCTGGAAGAGAGGAGTTTAACCTAGGGCTTTGAGTGGAGATATAATTTCCATTCTTGTCAATTCCCTTGTTTGGGAAGCAAATCAGAATATGAGCAGCGATGCAAATCTGCAAATCTACCGCTCACGCTTTTCCTCGAAATTCCAGAATATATAGCGACTAAGTAGATATAACATAAACTGAAACTGTTTAAAATTTTTTTTTAAAGATTGAGAAAAAAATACTAAAAATCAGGCGTCTATTTCAGTTATAGTAAGAAAGTTTAAATTAGAACAAAAAGTTTGCTTTAGAAAACAGTCCAATACAAACCGTACCAGATGAAAAAAAAATGGCGTTCCAAAAAAAAACGGAAAATGAATCGAGAGAAACTAAAACGAAAACCTTGAACCCGAAATAAAAAATTTGAGAGTTACAATTCTGAAACTAGCTTAGTTAGCTTGTATCTGACTTTTCAAGGAATTGAACATGTCAGAAGTGATAATAATCATTCCCAGTAAATTAATCATTGTGGGAACAAAATTATTCACGGGAAAAAAAGTCTAGTACCCTATTGCAATACTCTTGCTAATTACAAGGGTAGTTACCAAAATGATCATCTGTAGCACGAATAACTGTTAGTCTAAATTCGAGCAAGTAAAGCGAGCGAGAAATGTTTATAATGCAAGAATTGGTTATTTAAGCAAGGAAAAAGATAAAAATGTTTAAACAAAAATAGTTTTTGAAGCTTCCAATAGCACTTCCTCAGAGCTTCCCTGAATTCAAGAAAAAATTGTCTGATTTGTTTCTTTTTTCCTATTTTGATGTACTTTTTTTTTCAATTAAGGCCAAGAAAAAAATAATGAGCGTTCATTTAAGGCAAGTAAAATTTGAAAGTTATAGAAAAAAAAACTATATGTTGTAGGTGCATAATTTATTCATACAGTCAAGGAACAGAGGACTTTTAGTTTGATAGTGAAGAAATGCGCAATTTTTTTTTCACGTTTTGCCATTGCCTCTATGACTGAAATTCATAGAGGAAATTGATAGAGGAAACTGTTTGTCAGAATAAAGCTGATTCAGAAACCGTAAATTTTGTTTTTAAGGTGTCGTTCGGTCTCTTAATTAAAGGGCTTCAAAGAGGTGATTTTAGTGCCTACAAATTTCCCGGTAAAAACGCAAGCAGTTTGAATTTGCGAACTTCAGAATATTTGTAGAAAAGTAAGGATCTACGACAAACTTTTATTAAGGTTCCATTTCACATAGAGAAAAAAGCAATAAATGTTTGGTAAAGCTCTTAGACACAAGTTTTAGGAAAAATCAACATTTTATTTAGAAAAATGGCAAAATCTCAAATAAATATCAAAATTTTACGGTTTTCAATCGGCCATATTATGCTTCCTCCGCAGTTTATGCCAATTTTTTTTAAAAATGTGCCATTAGATACTATATTTTCGTCAGCTCCCCCTCCAGTTTTTTACGGTTTTTTATCCGGCCATAGAGTGCTTTCTCCTCATTTTTTGTCAAATTTTTCCTAAGTTTCGCCCTTGGATATTATTTTTTGCTCCTCAGAATGTTTCAATATCTTTCAAAAGGCGCGTAGAGGCGCCAATATACACCAAATTTGAGAGAGCCGCGTTCTGAAAAAAAAATGGCGAAAATGCCTGTTGAAAAAAAATGCCTTTCCTGAAAAAAATGCCTTTCCTTGAGCTGCCTTTTTTCAAAAATTCTGGCAAAATCAGGTTTTAATGGGGTACTTGTGGAGTTCATGGAAAATCAATATTAACAAAAACAAATTCAGTTTTTTCCAAACCCCCGCCCCCTTAGAAAAACTCATACGCACGGCACTGCCTTCAAGACAAAAGTGAAGCCTTCATTTGATCCTACAAAGCAAATGATGACAACAAGCAAGTTCTCGAATGTTTGTAAACTGCAATAGCTTCAGAGTTAGTTAAGATAAGTTCAGATACGTTCAGAATTAATTCCGACAAAATTAAATATGAGCAATGTTGCAAAGTTAAGACCCTCCTCCATCTTTCTTTGTAAATGAGTATCAATTTTCCGAATAAAAATGCTTTATTAAATAGACTTTGTAAAAAAATTTTTAATAAACTTAGCCCAAGGAAACACTTCCTCACTCAGTATAAATCATTACAGGACGGATTAGAGAGAAATCGAAGCTAATAATACTCGGGTAAGATATTGAACAGTTTTTGTCCTGCGTTATGTCCTCGTTTAGGAACACAATCCTCGGAGCTTTCTATTCTTTCTCTTCTTTACGGCAGTCTGATTCTGAAATCTACTGAGCCAATGTTTGGTTTCTCTGAGTCCAAGTAGATGTTTCTAAACAGCAGTTAATTCAATTTCAAAACTGAAAACAAATGATAAAGGTGTTGAAGATTTCGCTCCTTGCTTGACTAAAACTATCCCTATATCTAGCACTTCCTTATGACTACGTGCCTTTTCCCTAACAAGGCTCAAAATTCATCTGCGTGATGTACTGAAAATCGAATCATAATGCCAGGTTTTGATTTGTTGAAATTATATAACACGAAAGGAAAATCTGAAGCTTAGTTTTAAACAAAAAGTTTCGATACTTTAGGGCCTAATAACAAAAAATACCCATTCGTTGAATGGTGTATGAAAAATAACGCTTCGAATTTGTTTGATTTTCGGTTTGGACCAATTCGATAAGCGTTGGTATCATTCATAAACTAAGGGCATCGTGTATACCATGCGGAAATCAATATCATTGGAAGACTCTACCAAAAAGGGTTGAGGTTTAAGAGTATTTGATGTTTCAAAATTGAGTTAGATCTTTTTATTTCATCAATTTTCGTTTAGAAAAAAGACTGTAAAATTTAGTTATATCGAAATGATACTTAAAATTTTTTTAATGGACAGGATTGATGAAAAAGGAAGATGGTGGTCAAAATGTGATCTCGGTGTCCTTGTTTCTCTGTATAAATGTCCAAAAATATATTTAGTTCCGCTTACATTATTTTGTCTTCTGGTTTACGAATGATAAGCAAGCAACCTGGGTTAGTTTTCTTCAAAAAAAATTGGAACAACAAAATTGCATCTCGCATTTACTTAGCTATGGCGCTGCACACTATTCTGGCATCCTCCTCTTTTTTCTCCATCTCCTCTTTATTCAGTTCTATCTGGACAACGACAACTGGTGCCTCCCTCATCCAATCCATTCCATACTTCCAGGGGAACTTGTCCAAGTTGAAGCCATCCTTCGGGAACGAATGTGAACCCAAAAAGAACTTCTCGTATTTGGGTTTCTAACACAAAGCAGTAAATTACATAAGAGCAAAAAATTACTATAAAGTTCGATCATAAAAAAACAATCGCCAAAAAGTCAAAAACAACTTACAGTTCTCTGGAAAGTCAACCCGGGTCGAGGTCCGCGACTCATGTCCAGACTTTCGAGACAATATTTTGGCATATACAGATCTTCATGTCCAGACTTTCCAGACTGAAACTCTCCGCGCGACTATGCAATTTAGGTTTGAATCCGGATGCGGCGTGACCCACAAAGTCTGGACATGAGTCTGTGAACTCGACCCGGGAACAGAGATCTCAAACATCCTACACGTACACATCTAAGCAGTATTGATCGATGTAGACTATCTAGAGTTATGTGTTTATATTTATAAAATCTTGTTCACGTGGTTTTAATCTAACCTCGTCAACCACAAAAGTCCATCATCTTTAACATTTGTCTTAATCGGTTTTTGTTCACAAGAAAATTAAAAAACATGGCTTAGATGGTGTGAGAGTATGAGCTCTCTCTTGGCCTCTAGCTTCAGGTCCAATACAGCCTTACAGATTTTGGCTGCAATAGTGGTACCACGTGAAAGTTCGCAAAAAACGGACGTGAGTCGCAAAAAATAAATCAGTCGGGAATGTGCGAAAACAATACAAACGGACTATACTTGTATAGTAGTGATAGCATTTCATAGATCCTCGCAAAACTGAAAAGCAAAAACATGAATATTCAATATTATTGTTCCGACAATTTGAAAAGTGGGGAGGAATTTTGTATTCGGGTATGTTTTAAATTTTTATTAATTTTTTTCACGCAAAATCAGCTATCACAAATAACTATTGGAGAGATAACTATCATAATCATATTGAAGCCCTTACAGTCGTGATTTGAACAATTTTTTCAAAAAATCAAATAAATTTTCTCGGTGTCGAGAAAAAATGGTTTGAATTTTTGATATTTTGTTCTAATTCGAGCGAATAAAGCGAGCGAGCAAGCTTGTTTTAGGAGCTTTTTTTAATGGCTAATAAGCTTACAATAGCTTGATAAAAACTTCAAAAACTTAGTTTTACCCCAGTAACGTTGTTTTTTCAAGTATTTAGCGCCTTTTTTTTATCAAAAACTTCAAAAATTCAATACAACCAAAAAAATTTGAAAAAATTTTTTTTTTTCCTTTTTCTTGTCAATTTTCCACAAAATTGTTTTTCAATTTGTTGGTTTAACTATGACTGTCGAAAATGATTTCGTAATTTGGACTTTGCCTAATATCTTAGTTGTTTGTGTACTAAAAGTAGAGTGAAATTTTTTTGGATTTTCGAATTTTCTCAAAGACAAAGCAACTCTATTAGAGAAACTGCACTAGCCGCTTTGCCGAAAAAGATCGCTCAATCGCTTCTTTCAAATGAGTTTTTCATTTCAAGTTTGATAGAGTTATTTTAAAGAAAATTCAAAACGTTTCTAAAAAACGGTCAAAGATGAAAAACTTGATTTTCTGAAGTCCGTAATTATTTTCTGCTAAAAGCAGGTCGTTCTGCTAAAAGCAGGTTTCTGCTAAAAGCAGGTCGTTTTTCTGCTAAAAATTGAGAAGATTCCCGAAATCAGATTTTTGAACTAAAAATTTAACCTGAAAATTGGCACGTTAATTTTCGAGTAGTGTAAAAAAAACTCTCAAAAAAAGGTCAAAGTTTCAAAACTTTCACTTGTTTGAAGGCAAAAACTTTTTCTAGAAGAAACTGAGCGTAATTTTCTTTGAGGTTAGCTCTCGAGAAAACTGTCAAAAAATCAAGATTTTCATTTTTGCGAAGGCCATAATTTTATGTGTATAAAAATTGGTCGTAGTCGGTTATGTAAAGGAGCTGCCCGCAACCCGTTCTCTAGATTGAACCCAAAATCCCCGATACTGGAGGGTACTTTTTGTTAAAATTCATAAAATTTAGAAACAAAGCTAAAAAAACAATCAAAGAACTTTTAACTGATTTTTCCGAGGAAAATAACATTTTGTATTAAAAAACTGTGCTTAACTCAGGGGAGCTTCCCACTATCCGTCATCTCCATTAAAGTCACAACCTCAATTTTGGGAGGTTAGTTTTCGAGGAAAGTCAAAAAGATTTAAAACACAATCAAAAATTTCACTATTCAGAAGGCCATAATGTCATGTGTACCAAAAATTTGGGCGTATCCACATATGAAATAGAGCTTTTTAAAACCGCACAACTCATTAAAACAAAAATCTCAGATTTGGTTGGTTGGTTAGTTTCTGAGAAAACGAAAAAAGTCAAAAATATCGGTCATTCACCAACAGCCTTTTTTGACTACTGTAGACAAAAGAGAAAAGCAAAAAGAGACCAGGGTAGAAAAAAGTCACACAAGGGTGTAGGTAACCTTTCTATAAATACCCTTTTTTGAAAATCGGAAGAAGACTTTTTGAGAAATTTTTCACAGCGTCTCGAAAAAAAGTTAAATAAAAAACCTAACCCCATAGGTTTTCATTAAAAAAGCTTTTTTATCAAACAGGAAACAAGCGAAGCAAGACGTTTTAAATTTAAATGAGCAACTCAACAAAATTTACTAAGCGGAAACAAGGCCGACCATCTTTGAGACTACAACAGTTGAGCCAAAAAACCGTTTTGCAATTTTTTTTAAAGTTTTGAGGCCGCCTTAAAATTACTCTGTAGTAACAACCCCACCCAGTAGTTAAATTTTGAACAGCTGCATTTGAATTTTCATGAAATTGTACATGCCAGCTGCATTGATGTCAGCTGAAATTGAGAAAAGATTCAAATGATTTTAAAAAGTCTACGTTTCGATTTCATAAGGCTTGCTACTCGAAAGCGTAAAACTCTTGATTTCCATCTTGTTTTAATCTAGAGTTGAAATAAATTGCTCGTATCTGAATGATGCGTTTTTTGCGAGTTTTAAAAAAGCTGAAACTTTCATATTCTTGTAAAAATCCCCGAGTCTATTTAATGTACAAAATGGTCTATGAGGGTCTTGTAAGGCATCGACAAGAAAATAAGCTGCCTCAATTGGCAATGATTTCGGCTCATTTTGACTGCATACGTTGAAAAAATTGGCTTGAAAAGTTTAATAGAAAATAATCGGAGTTGGTCTGCAGAAAAAAAAACATCTATGCATAAAATTTTGTCATTTGTTTGAAAATATGAGCAACAAGACTGCTCCTATTACAACGAGGTCATAAATAATTTAGCAGTTTTCTAAAATCTCTGCAGTAGTTTTTGGTTAATAGTTTTGATCATTTCCAAATTGAGAAAATAGGATTTGTTAATTTGACCAAAAATACTTTTTCAATATTTTGGACGAATTTCTAATGATCATCCACAAAAAAAAAGATACTTTCAGCTCAGTTGTTGAAAAATTTTTTCTGAGCAAAGGGGTTTTGACAATTGATTTTATGGCCAATTTGTGATGCGCGGCAAAATAAACCTCTTCAAAAATCTTTCCATATTTTCAGGCTTGATTTTTGGTCTAAATAAAGGCAAAGTATATCATTCTAGTGTTTTAAATTTAAATCCATTAAAAAAATACTAAAAGATACATTTGCATCAATTTAGACCAAAAATCAAGCCTGAATATATGGAAATTTTTTTGAAGAGGTTTATTTTGCCGCGCATCACAAATTGGCCATAAAATCAATTGTCAAACCTTATTATTAAGGAAAAATTTCAACAATTGTGCTACAAGCATCGGTTTCTTTCGGATGATCTTTACGAATTCGTCAAAATGTTGAAAAAAAAGTTTTTTCTCAATAAGGATCCACCACTCAGAGGATAATATTGATAATAATGCTTCACTTCTTCAAAAGTCGGAACAGCATTTTTTTGTTTTTCGGCAAAAAAGCAAATCTATTTATTAGTCAGAACAGCCAATTTTTTAATGTAAAAAAATGCATAAATCAAAGTATAATCTGTGTATAAATTGTATGAAACTCCTTTGTAGATAATTTTTAAATCTGAGTAGAAATTTATCAAAAAACTATAAGTTAACCAATTTTAAAAAGTAGAAAACTACCGTACTGCATTTAAATTCATCGTATTTAAACTCACCGCAGGTTTGCACTGTATAGTTACTGTTCCGTCTTCTTCTGGGGGCTGTGGGACGAAGTTGTGAACCTAGAGGCAAAGCAGTGCTTGTTGTCATCAGATCTTTTCAAGTGAGTTCAACTTATACTACTTTGTTGGCAAAATTTTACATACGTTGGCACGATATCATTTTCTACATACCAATTTTGACCCTAAGGTTGCGTTGAAAGCCTTTAGGTAGCAAAGAAAAACTAAGTTACATGACAATTTTTAGTCTAAAATTTTAGGAACAATTGCTCAGCATACGGCGCAGAACTTTTGATCCAATCAAGGTTATTTAAAAATTTATCAAGCAAGTTATGTATTGAATAAACCTCCCAATTTTGAAGTTTGATTTGATCAAGTGGTTTAAATACTTTTAGGTAAGAGTCTTAAACTTATGCAAAACTAATAAACCGTAACACTATACTGACTAACTGCATTTAGGTAGAAGAAGAAGCACGGCTTGTATTCGTCCCAGGATCCATTCACTCTCTTCTCGTCACATAAATCCCACCTGCTATCATCCGACTTTCCATCATTCTCACTGTGCTCTTAACATAAAACACAACAAAACAATGATAGCTGGTTGCTGTGCAAGTAGCACAGAATGTTCCGACAACATTCTCAGAAACATTTTCAAATTAGTCTTTTCGTGTGTCGTGTGTTGACAAAATTATGCAAACGTGTAAAATTTTAGTTAGTTAGGCATAAACAACTACAATTAATTTCAAAAAATTATTGAAAAAGAAAAAACTCAAAAACCAAATTTTAGATTTTTTTTTCAATTTTATTTTGCACTAAAAGTTATTAATAGTCAGAACAGCCAATTTTTTAATGTAAAAAAATGCATAAATCAAAGTATAATCTGTGTATAAATTGTATGAAACTCCTTTGTAGATAATTTTTAAATCTGAGTAGAAATTTATCAAAAAACTATAAGTTAACCAATTTTAAAAAGTAGAAAACTACCGTACTGCATTTAAATTCATCGTATTTAAACTCACCGCAGGTTTGCACTGTATAGTTACTGTTCCGTCTTCTTCTGGGGGCTGTGGGACGAAGTTGTGAACCTAGAGGCAAAGCAGTGCTTGTTGTCATCAGATCTTTTCAAGTGAGTTCAACTTATACTACTTTGTTGGCAAAATTTTACATACGTTGGCACGATATCATTTTCTACATACCAATTTTGACCCTAAGGTTGCGTTGAAAGCCTTTAGGTAGCAAAGAAAAACTAAGTTACATGACAATTTTTAGTCTAAAATTTTAGGAACAATTGCTCAGCATACGGCGCAGAACTTTTGATCCAATCAAGGTTATTTAAAAATTTATCAAGCAAGTTATGTATTGAATAAACCTCCCAATTTTGAAGTTTGATTTGATCAAGTGGTTTAAATACTTTTAGGTAAGAGTCTTAAACTTATGCAAAACTAATAAACCGTAACACTATACTGACTAACTGCATTTAGGTAGAAGAAGAAGCACGGCTTGTATTCGTCCCAGGATCCATTCACTCTCTTCTCGTCACATAAATCCCACCTGCTATCATCCGACTTTCCATCATTCTCACTGTGCTCTTAACATAAAACACAACAAAACAATGATAGCTGGTTGCTGTGCAAGTAGCACAGAATGTTCCGACAACATTCTCAGAAACATTTTCAAATTAGTCTTTTCGTGTGTCGTGTGTTGACAAAATTATGCAAACGTGTAAAATTTTAGTTAGTTAGGCATAAACAACTACAATTAATTTCAAAAAATTATTGAAAAAGAAAAAACTCAAAAACCAAATTTTAGATTTTTTTTTCAATTTTATTTTGCACTAAAAGTTATTAATAGTTTTTTTTTCGCAGAAGCGCTAAATAAAGCCTCAAAAACTACTTTTCCTTTTAATTTTCATGAAGTGCAAGTAAAACCAGGGATTTGTTTAAATTAGTTTTTTCAATTTAGTGTAGTTTTTACTAAATTAGTGTAGGTTTTTTTCAAAAGTTTTTTTTGTCATTTTTTTTTCAAATTAGCTTTGTTTTTTTTTAGTAAAACTATAATTAAGGAATCTTCAGCAGTCATAGTTAAAAACAAAACTTGGACAAAAACTGTTACAGAAAATGGACTACAAAAACAGAGTTTTTTTCCATCTTTTTTGCAGAACATTCAACAGCACCGCTACAGAACATAGCTAAAAAACTCCAAAAAGCTATTTTAAGTTGTTTAAAACTAAATTTTTAGTGCTTATTTTAGTGCTTAATAGGTATAGTTAGACTGTTGTAATCCAAATCACGATTAAAAAAGCTTCAATTTTGTATATATCACTCGACCGTATCCAATAATTATATGTGGCACCTAATTTTTTGTGAAAAACAAATAAAGCAAAAAAACTATATCTTATCAAAATGCAAAACTCCTCTCCATTTTCAGTGGTCGGAATAATCACCCTTTTTAATGTCCCACCATAATTTGGAATGTTTATAATAACAGACTTTAAAATCCTATCCTGGTGAAACCATCATCACTCAGCATTTTTAGTAGTTTTTTTTGCTAATAGAAATTGTTTTTTTTTCCTGTCACAAATTGATAAATAGGAAGTTTATGACACAAAACAAACAACTACCCAATGAAAAGTCTGAAGATGACATGGGTCTGTCAAATCAGCTAATCAAAAAATTAACTCTATTATAACAGCTCATTTGACCCTTATTTTTAACCAGATAATTAGCGAAGCAGTTTATCCCATTTGTCTTAACACAACAAGAGTAAATCCTATTTTCAAAGAAGGAGACAAGTCACTTTCATGCAATTATAGACTTATTTTTTTAGTTCCTGTTATAGAAAAAATTTTGAAAAACTATTATTCAAACGAATAATTAATTTTTTCTATGAGTTTGACGTGTTTAGCAATAAACAGTTCGGATTTCGCAACAAACGCTCTACAACAGATGCTATTGTGGAAACTTTAGAGGTTCTTATTAAGAGCAAAAACACTGATGAGTTGACGCACTGCACACTCCTAGATCTATCTAAAGCTTTCGATACTGTTGATCATAACAACCTTATTCATAAGTGTCACCTTTACATGCTGTGAAATTTTCCTCTTAATTTACTGAAATCCCACCTCACCAATAGAAACCAGTATGTCTTTCTTTCGAACAAATGTTCAACAAAAGAGAAGCTTCATTGTAAAGTACCTAATGGTTCTGTTTTGGGTCCCCTGCTTTTTTCATTTATATCAATGATCTTCCCAATATATCTTCCCAAGAACTTAAAACAGACTTGGAATTATTATCCGAATGGATGGAAAATACTAAGCTTACAACAAAAAAAGTGGAAAAAATGATCACTAATGGAACAAAAAAAATTGAAAGTTTTGTCTGGGAACAAAACACGATAGAACTAAAAAGTGCAGTTAAATACATGAGATTAATTTTGGATCAAAAGGTTTCCTTCAACCAACATATTGAATCATTACAAAAAAATGAAATTGATTCATATCCATTTTTTCTCAAACAAGACAGTTTCTTAGCTCATCTGTTCTCATTCGAATTTACAAGCAGTTTATGCAACCAATATATCAATATGATGTATTAGTATAGGGAGTTGCCAATAAAACCGCTTTAAAAAATTTGCAAGTACAACAAAAAAAATTTAATTCAAATTGCTCTTCGTCTCAAAAAAAACACAAGAAGTAAGGACTATGAGAAAAACTCATGGAATTTGCTCAATCAATGAATTACACGTAAACGAACTGTTGAAATTACTCTCTAAAGTAATAAGACGAGAACATGAAAAAGACAACGTGAACAAATTCTTTTCAAAACAAGAATCGATACCACTAGAAGAAAAAATTCACTAACAAAAAAACATTAATGCAAAATAACAAAATTATATATCTGTGTGAATACGGACACTCTTTAGTTCTCTAATTAATTTCAATATAAACATCATTGAAGAAATTTGAATCAAGCCTAACCAATTTTTAGACAACTTTATGCATAAAATCAGAGATAATTACTTAATTGATTGCGACTACTTCAACAAGTTGTTTTAGTGAAAAATTTTTGAGTAGATTTTTATAAATAACTGAACTACTATAAAGCGAACCAAAAAAACATCGTACTAACTGAAATAAAGCAAATGATAAAAAATTTAATTTTCAAGTCTGAAAATTGTCTTTTTGGTTACTTTTATTTGCTTGTAAATACTACTGTAAAAAATGTCAATTAGATGCAAAATAAAGGAACTGTAAGTTTTTTGAAATTTATTTTTCTTTCTATAAATCTATTAATTTTTTTTCCAGTATAAATGTTATTTATACTAAACAATCAGGTCCATATAAGTCAGTACTTAATAGAAAGTTCTCAGCGGCGCTTCAACAGGTTGAAATACCTTCTGCGCTTGCTCAAGTTGGTGCTTTATCAATGATAAAATCTCTATTTTGTTGGATTATTGCACTACTTGAAACAAATTTATTTATTATTATATTATAGCTGCCAAAGTCGTCATTATTGTCTAATACTCGCCCAATGTAATAGTGGCTTATATTGTGGTTTTACCACATGAGCAAAAAATTTGTGATCGTGGAAAACGTTGAGCAGCTGAAAACTGCTACATTAAGGGTTAGAAAAATATAATTAACTCGCATCCTCGCTTTGTTTTTTTTCAGCTGCCCAAACTTTTTTGGTTGTCAATTGTTGTATGAAAAAAAGTTTACCTGTCATTTTGAAAAAAGTAATTTTCAAAAAATCTCCAATGTCAATAAAAAAAGGACTGAATAGCATTGCTATTGAGGCTCAGTTGTCAATATATTGCTGGAACTCACATGACAAAGTTGCGAATAAAAAACAATTACTTATTTACTGAAGTTCAAACTTTAACGCAATATTGACTCAACAAAAAAACTGATTAAACTGACTCAACAAAAAAAACTGATTAAACTGACTCAACAAAAAAACTGAGTTTTATATAGTAAAAACTTGAGCTAAAATAAATTTTGTTAATATAAAACTCTCGTGATTGTGTGCGTGTGATTCATTTTTCCATAGTGACGATCTAAAGTTATTTTATCAAACACTTTAATAGTTAGCCAAACAATTGGGAAGAAATATAGCAAAAAAGGAAAATATTGAAAATGAAGCTTTCTAGGTTTCAAAATGCTGACTAAGAAACAGTTTGGATCTTGTTTACTATTTCACCCTCCCTTAAGATAAGGAGCTTCGTTGTAAAAAAGTGTTGTAGACAAATTGGCAGAAATCTGCTAAACGCGTACACACCAGAAATGAAATCGTATATGTTTTGTTTGTACTGGTTGGCTTCATCGTAGAAGTAGACTTTCTGTTTGTCCCGCCCAATGGCATTAGCAGGTGGAATCACGTGCAAACCTAAAAGAAAGTTGTTATTGAGTATACAGTGCTGATTTAAATTATCCGGACAAAACGAACAAAACTTGAACTTTCAAACGCGTTTTTTTCAAATTGGGTTAAGATTAGACAAAAAGTGAAGAGAACAAAAGTTGCTTAGAATTTCACCAGAATTAATATGGTGCCATTTTTCCTCCGAAATTCTCAACAAAAATTTTACCCCAAAAGTGGGTCATTTTGGCTTTTTTCAATTAATCAAGAATTGCGCTGAAACTACTTTGTTAATTGATATGAAAATTATATCACAGGAAGCCTCTTACGCAGTTCAACAAAGTTTAAGAAGGGATAAATTTCCAAAAACCAGTATAAATGAAAAAAATTTCACTTGATAGTCAATAAATGTGATTTTTACTATATAAAACCCAGAATCTCTGTTTAAAAATAAATTTTAAACAATTTGCGCAAATTTTTGGAAATTTCACTCCTCTTAAACTTTGTTGAACTGCGTAATAGGCTTCCTGTGATATAACTTTCATATCAATTAACAAAGTAGTTTCAGCGCAATTCTTGATTAATTGAAAAAAGCCAAAATGACCCACTTTTGGGGCAAAAATTTTGTTGAGAATTTCGGAGAAAAAATGGCAACATATTAATTCTGGTGAAATTCTAAGCAACTTTTGTTCTGTTCACTTTTTGTCTAATCTTAACCCAATTTGAGAAAAACGCGTTTGAAAATTCAAGTTTTGTTCGATTTGTCCGGATAATTTAAATCAGCACTGTAGAACAAGCGCTCATAGAGCCATCATTCACAGTGCTCCTCATTATCTTTAGGCCAGATCATTTGATTTTTCAGTCCCGCTAGAAAACTCAGGACAATCCAATGCGGAGTTTCGAAAACTTATACATGAGTGGATGCGGTACTAGATTATGGTAGCACCCCGGAATAAATAGAAATTCAAATTGTTATAAGAATCTTACTTTTTGTAAGAAATGAAGAATTCATGGGAAACCTTACAAAACTCTTATTTCATCTAAACAAGAATTTAAATTGTGTTAATTATTTTACAAGAATCCGACAAAAAATATAAGTAAACTAAGAAATCTTACAACTTTCATGCACTCAAGTTGTTTCGGCATATGTATCTTGTCTTGAGAGAACTTTTTTTCAGCGACGCGAGAATTTGCCAAGTATCTGTTAGAGCCTGGCCAAAAATATCCAGTAATGAAGACCAAAAACAACAAGCCTTTGGTTTACATGTATTCATCTTCTCATAAATTTTTATTTTTAGGGGACTATTTGTCTCCTAAAAACCTTTTGAAAACTTATGAGAAGATGAACTCTGATCTAATACTCTTATGAGAAAATGAATGTATGTAAATCAAGCGTTTGCTGTTTTTTGAACCAAACGTCTGATGACTTATCAGAATTTTTAAAATATTTTTTATAAGAATTTAAATTCTTTTTAGATCCGAGATATCTTCACAAAAACCTCATTTTAAGAAAAGAAAAAATTAAAATGGAAGCAAAAACACCGGTTTGATGCGTAATTGGGCATTTATAGTCGTTTATTTTGGGAAGGACGGAGGAAGAGAGACGTTGGGATAAATTTTGCTGGCAAAAGTTCTCTCAAAAAAGGTATGTTTTTTGAGTAATTACTTCTTGAAGCCAAAATCAAAATAAGCGCACCGCCCCTTCCAAAAACGATTTGCAGCTTATTTATTGGTGGTTCTCGCCGTAAAAGACAAAACTCTGTCAAAGGTTTTTTTTGAAACTTGGGAAAGATTTTCCAATTTTCATTGCAGCTTGGGATTAAACTTAATTGTGGAACTTGACAAAAACCAAGAAGCAGAGCTCACTCAAAATTCTCGGTTTTTTTTCGAGGTCAAAAATTAAAATCAAATCAATAAGACTTCACCTGGCCCTCTGTGAGTGAGGTAGTCGGAGTAGAGGGGTCCATTTTCGACTGAAGGCAGTCTCAGCTGGACCAGGTAGAGCAGTCCGACCCAGAAAACAGCCAGACACACGTACAGCACGATGAAGAACAACGTGATCTCGGCTGAAAAGGGTAAGAACCGTCACAACATTTCTTTGTTCTTTTTTTTTAAAATTCGAGTGAGTTTACGCAGAGTGTAAAAAATCAATAAATTAAACTTACAAAAATTGAAACTGGTGTTGTGAAATTGTCAAAAAGTTTCCTTTAAAGTGTATCAATGTCAAGCGACTATCAATGCCATTATATGTTTTTAGGACTTATTTTACATATGGTTTTTCATGTTGAGCCTGGTGCATGTATAGCCATACAATAATATTATGTTATTTTTCTGAAGCCACATGCGCGTTTGACATTTTGAGCTATCTGTTTTTTTTTCAAAAAATTTCCTCCCTCTCACATTAGTACATCTTAAACTTTTGTAATTCTTTCTAAGGGGCGGATCTAGGGGGTGGGGCGTGGATTTTGAAAAATTTTGTCGACCTTTTTTTAGGTTGACCGAATTGATTTTTCGAGCTCTTCCTAAGCACGGTTTAGTCCCTGTTTTGGCGTTTTTAGGCACTTTTTGGAAAAATTTGACCAAAAAATTGCGTTTTTTTGGCGCGCACTCCCCCTTCAAAATTAGTATAGAGGGCTCCCTTAGAAAAATTTTAGGGTCCGTCACCAAGATGGGATATTTCAAAATAGTACAAAGGGGGGACCCTTTGGGTCGGCAGGGGTCGAATCCCTGAGAGGGAGGCGTCCCCCTGCCCCCTCTAAATCCACCCCTGACTGCAGGTACTATCTTTCGATGCAACTTATTAAAAAGGCATATACATCATGTGAACACTGACTTTAAACATTTACTGGAATTCTCAAAATGGACAATGAGTGTTGTGTGTGATAGCTGGTAACAGAACCAAAAACATTCATATAGAAATGTGGCGAAATTATAACCCCTGTTTAAGTATAGCTCCCTTACAAACCTCGCTTATTGGTTTTGTCCCAAAAAATTCCTTGTGGTCCCAGATAAAATACTACCCGGGTCGACGTGCTCACTTTATGTTTCGACCGTCTCGACCAAAAACCGCTATTTTTCGACCATTTCAACCAAAGTTCGGTATGATTCGACCGTGCTCGACCGTAATTTGGTATGTTTCGACCATGTTTGATCGAAACAAGTGGTCTAGACCGTGCTCGACCTAAGCAAGATATGTTTAAATTGTGCTCGACTGACAAAAAATGGTCGACCGCGCTCGACCCAAGCAACTTATGTTTCGACCATGCTCGACAGAATTCGGGTATGTTTCGACTTTCAAACAACATACCCGAATTCATACTAAGTTGGAGATTGAGTAACAAAATTTGAAGATGTACTAACTTGAGAGGAAGGAATTTAAAAAACACAGAAAATAGTTTGTTATCCAAACTTGAACGTTATAATTTATGCTTTTCGGGTAACACCTTATGAAGTTTTTTCTATTAGAATGAAAATTTTAGAGTTATTTGCAATTTAAATGCTTTGTAGAGATTTTCTAGATTCGAGCTATGTTTTCCATCTTTTGGAATACTGTTTTACAATTTGAATCTAACGCGTTAAAAAATACAATGTTATTTAAAAAAAAATTATTTTTGACTCCGAATTGCCGCAGGACAATCGGTAATTGTCGTCCGTGCTCGAGGTATGCTTCTACCGTCATTGATTGGGCTCGAATTACGTTTCGACCGTGCTCGGCTTATGTTTCGACCGTGCTCGTGATATGTTTCTACAGTGCTCGACCGTTCTCGAGGTACAGTTCGACCGTGCTTGATTGCGCTCGAGGTAAGTTTCGACCGTGCTCGAGTTATATTTTGACCGTGCTCGTGAAATGTTTCTACCGTGCTCGAGGTAATTTTTGACCGCACACAAGGTATGTTTTGATTTTGTGATCGACCCAAGCCCCTGCCTCGAATATTTTTTTTTGGTCGAACACTGACACGTTCTCGACTTTGAAAGACCCGGGTAAGCTTTTCAATTAAATTATATAGTAATGTGAATAGAAGTTTCACATTAAAATATCAATAGTTTTTAACAAAAAACTCTTATGCCCCATTGAAGATATCGACTCCTTGAAATCAAATTCAAAAAGATATTTTACCTCCAATCATTTTTGCAAAGTTTTGGGAATTTGGAAAAATTCCAATTTGGCTTTGCTCTGGACTATTTTATGCGCGCTTTGAAGATTTTATCCATAATCCTGAAAGCGTAACGCTTATTATTTATGCGTGGCGATCTAATCCACACAAAGTAAATTGAGACTAGCTAATTAGTCGTAATAATTTTGTACAATTTCACACTTGGTCACACTTGGTCTTATCACACTTGGTCTTATCACACTTGGTCTTTGGTATTGTCCAAAACTTATAGTGTTTCAAATTTTTCTTTGCCTAAAAACTGTTCGATATGGAATAAAGGAACATTCAGGGCCTTGCACTGATATACGAGCAAACTTGTTTTTTCTAATTGTAGTCACCGAAATGAAAACTTTTCTTGTTAAGCTTTGT